GACAAACATTGAGACAATGAAAATGAATAATTGGATCTGAAGGCCTGATTATTCGTGTTTTATTACAGCAAAAAAAAAATTCAAATTATCATTTCATTCAAATTTGAAATTTTTTTTTATGTTATGTTCCATAACGATTTTGTTTCATATCATTACAATTGAAACTTAATCACAGCTACTACATATCATCATCATATGTGCATAACAAAACCAGGTGATGATGATGATGATGATGAAAATAATGGTCAACAAATAAGATAATCTAATCATTATCATTGTGATTATAATTAACAAATTATTATTATTTCTCATCATCATCTTGACCATATGATAAGATTCAAATTCAATTTTTTCTTTCATTCCAGTGAACGAATGAACAAAAAAAATCTCATATTGTCCCATTGAAAAGGGGAAAAATCCCGTGAAAATGTGTGTTTGTGGTCAACGAATGAAAACAACGAGCAAAAAAAAAATTCCCGTAAAGCAAAAAAAAAAAATTTAATCCGAAATTTTTTTTTGTCCTCATTCAAATGATGGATCCAAATCGATTGATTGATTGATTGAATGAGTATCGATCAGAATTCAATTTTTAAACATTCATCAATACATTGTTTGAAAATAAATTTTTAAAAAAAAAATCCATGTGTGAGAAGAAAGAAAAAAATTGAACTATGATGATGATCATGATCATGATGATTATCCAAATCATCAAATGGAAAATTGACACAAACAAAAAAAAAAAAAATGAATGGCAAAATTCTTTCAATTTAAATTGAACTTGGACAATATGAAACTAGGTGAATATAATCGATTTTAAAGATGATTTTCATCATCATCATCATCAACATATAAACAACATTGATGTGAAATGCATTTTATTAATTCAATTTAGTCGAATGAAAAAGAAGTTTATTCATCAAATTTTCACAGCACACAAGAATATCAGGTGAAAATCTGCATTTGGAAATTTTTTTTATGAAAAATGAAAAAAAATTCATCTTGTAATTGCCATGGATGATCATTTCACATACCTGTCATATATATGTCCATGATGATAATGATGATCATCATCATCAACAAATCATCATCGAGAATGATAGGTCATGATAGTTGTCTCAATCTGCCATCTTGTTTTTTTTTTGCATTCAATTATGCCATCACACTGTTATTAGATTGATTTTTGTTGTTGTTGTTGTTGTTGTCATCAAATTGAATCGGTTTGAATGGAATAAAATTCATTTCAATGGTAAAAAATGTTTAATGTATGAATGTCTTGAAATAGTCATTTTTCACTTTATCGTTATATTGAATATAAATGTCTGGGTCAAACTGAAAAAAAAGATTCTCATCAAAACAAGAAAAAAAAATCTCCCAAGAAATTGATGATTATGAAATCTATACCGAATTTCAATGAGAAAAGATCGATTTATCGATTCATTTGATTTTTGTTTTCTATTGGAATCAATTCAATCAAGATGATCGATGAAATATGATGGATAATTTTTGGCCAATAACGAACGAACTCATCACACCAGTATGTTACCAGAAATTTTTCGAATGAAAAAAAAAAAATAAATTACATTTTGTGGAAATAGGAACAACAACAACAACAACAACAAAAAAATTCGACAGTGTTATTATTAGAAATCTGGTGCAAATCCAGATCTTATTCTCATCATCATCATCATCATCATAAGCATCGGATAATTTTAAATTCACAAACAATGATCGGCGGTTGCAGATGATGATGATGATGATTATGATCCATGGATTTAGTTCATTTTTCATGTATATAAATAATCCACCATTGTATTAATCTTTTGTGTGTTGTGATTGTTTCGTCTTTTTTTTTCATCCAGCTGCTGATCGATATATATTAGTTGCTATACTGTCATTTTTTTTTTTTGCAAATGATGAATTATTGTATCAATTTTTTTTTCTATATATTCAAATTTGATTGATCATCATTCATTCGTTCATATATTCGTGGCTACTGTTGTTGTTGTTGTTGTTGATGATTTGATTGATCAATTAATCTTCAACACAGTATATAGCCGGTGGTCATAATCATCATCATATGGTCAATTTTTCCACACTACTCATATTCTTATTTCATCATCATCATGTTATTTAATATGATGATAAAGTTGTTTGTTTCCTCAATAATCCATCTGGTGGTGATCGAAATATATTTTTTTCTTCCGATTTGTCAATCAAAGTTGAATGTTTTTTTTTTTTTAAAAAAAAAATTAAACTTTTTTTTTTCTCATTGTTTTGACTTGATTTATTTTGATTATTTTTATTGCTGTATTCTTTCTTTTTGCACTGCCCTCAATTGAAATAATTTCTTCATCTGGCAAACAAATTCAATGAATGGGAAAAAATCTAAATATGTCATTCATACTCAACAAGTTACTCGTGACATTCAAATTGTTGTTGTTGTTGTTGTTGATTTTTTTCTCAAAAACGATTATCAACCATGTATGATCGATTCGAACATTTTTTTTTCAATCTTTCGCCATTCCAAATCCGATAAACAATAATAATCTGCAATGATTGAATATGGTGAACATGGATGTTTGAAAAAACAAAACAAAACAAAACAAAAACGTCGACACACACACGCATTTTCAAGAGATTTGTAAATGTTGAATTTTGACAATTTTTTTTTCTGTTTTGTTTTCTCTCATTCAATTTGTTCATCTAAATTTTTCATATCACCAACACATCATCATCATCATTTGGATGCATAAAAAAACAATGTAACATTTCATACAAGTAAGAAAAAAAAAACTTGAACGTGATCCATTCGAATGATGATGTTCATTTTTGATGACTATGATGATGAATGGTTACAAACAGAACAAAAAAAAATTAGCAAATGCTCAATGGTTATAATGGTTACATTATTCAGTTAGAAACGACAAAAAAAATTGTGATCCATATCCGGATTATTTCATAATGCATAATCTTTATAAATTAATTTATCAAAAAAAAAAAAACATTTCGAACAACAAAAGAAACAAGTTTTTAGAACATCACACACAAAATAAAAAAAAAAAAAATTTTAATTTTGCTTTGTATTCATTGTCGAAATATACTAATATATAATAGATCAATAATAATAATTCGAATTTAATCAAATTCCACAATTTGATGACCGTGATCAATAATAATAATACTGCTGATGACAATGACAATCATCACTCAATAAATTGGAATCGATCGATTGTTTTAATTGATTGTTGTTGTTGTTGTTGATTGAACTTCCTCAATCAATCGTCATATATGAATGAATGAATTTTGGTGAGTAGAAAAAAAAGGGAACAAAAAAAATGATTTCATGACAAAAAAGATTTGTTCCATTCATGTCATAGTTAATGACAATAAAATTCCTCAAGTACAAAATCGATTTGTCCAAGAAAAAACTGTGGTGGTGATGGTGGTGGTGGCGGTGATGTTGAAGAGTGTGTGTTTTTTTTCTGTGAATAGAGAAAACAAAAAAATCCTTTTTACATTGACTAATTTGTTCGTGTTTGTGTGTGTGTTTTTGATCTTTGTATATAATGTGTTTCGAAGAAACTTGAAAGAATAAAACTTCCGATCTAAACTTTTTTTTGTTGTATGGCCACATTTTATCATCATCATCATCATCTTTTTTGTTATCGGTAAGCTGTGAGAAATAAGAAAATTGTATTTTCTTCAAATGATTTTTTAATATATATTTCATTTCTGGATCAGGGCCACCACACATTCAGACAATCAATTGATGACGATGAATTGATGAGAAATGAAAATTGGAAAAAAAAGAAGAACAAGATCATCGATATACATACAAAAGTCTAAGATCCGATAAGAGGATCTCAATAACAGCCATAACAACGAAAAGAAAAAAAAATGACAAAGACAACTATGAAGATGATATTGACAACAACAACAACAACGTTTAGAGTTCTTCCGCAAATAATCAACCAGGTTCTCTTTTTTTTTTGTTTTGTTTTGTTATGATCAATGATAAATCGAATTAATCCACTCAAATACAATGTAATTGGTCATTTTTTTTTAAATTATAAGGGCGATAATTTTTTTTTCATTTTCTCACAAATATTATCATTCATATATATATTGTTGAAATAATATATTCAGCTTGTTTGTTTTGTTCAATTTTCGTTTCTAGTTTAGTGGGATGATGATCATTTTTAGCCTAAATTGAGAAAAAAAATGAATGGTGAACGATACGATACTATAGTGGTGGATAATAACACAATGAATGATTGAAATGTATGAATTGAATGATAACAACAAGAATAACGATGCCATTTATGTGTGGCTGTTGTTGTTGTTGTTGTTGTTGCTGTTTGAATTCAATTATACATTATTCAAATCAATATATTGAAATTTCAAACATTTCCGATATCTTATGGATAGTTTGAAAAATTGAAGCTGACCACAATGATGATGATGATATCATTTCATATATGTTTATGGTGTATACAAGAATTTAGAAAGGCAAAATGTATGAAAAGAAAAAATTTATAGTCCAAATGCACTTGTTGTTGCTGTTGTTGTTTTAAGATCAATGACCACATCGATTCACTGATAACATGATTTTATTTGATTCTGATGATGTTATTTTTGGCAAAATAGTCATGAAAAAAAAGAAGAGGGAGAAAGAGAAAAAAAAGTGATTTAAACTTTTATTTTTTCCTATCAATAATCATGAATTTACAATTTTCACATTAAAATTTTTTTTTACGATTATAGATTTAAATGGTAAATGACCATTGGAGATTTAAAATGCAAATGAAAATGGCAATGACCATCATCATCATCATCATCATCATCATCACTATATTCGAATGGCGTTTGACGCCAAGATTAATGAGTTTATTGAGCTCTAGTCATAGTCATCAGTCGATCATCATTATCATTATCAATTGGTACCGTCGGGCAAAGAAATGAAATGAAAATCAAATAGAAATTCTTGAAAGTGAATTTTTTCTTCATTTTGAATGAAAGAAAAACAAAAATACATCAATGATTAGCAAAAGAAATTATTATCAGCCATGATCATTCGGTTGGATAGGTTCGGTCTCGATTGAAAGAAATAAAAAAAGAGAGATGAAAGAAAAAAGGATCGTCAACCATCAACCACCTGTTTTTGGCCATCATCATCATTTATTTTATTCTCGATTATTCTAACTATATTACCGATTTGTCAGGGTACTCAATCATTCTATGCACACCGTAGGATTATTTCAGACAAAAAGCAAATGGTTGATAACAACGAATAATAATAAAATTCAATGACCACAATAAACATGGCAAATGTCGATGTCATCGTAATGGTGAATTTTAATTTTATTTATTTATCGTTTTTCAGAATAACCTTTAATGTTTTTTTTTCTCTTTAGATTATGGACGATTCTTGAAGATAATATTGACGATGATAAAGAAAAAAACTATCTGACTGACTGACCATGGTAAATAAATATTCGGCAACAACAACGAAATAGCCAACATTATTAATCCGGTTGTATATAGTTGGTTTTGTTGATTAGCAAGTGAAAAAAAATCATCCAATTTTAATTCTGGTCAAGTCACTTTTGCTCTCAAGTATTCATGATCAGTATAATCAGTATCTGAGAAAAGTCAGGTATATATAAAAACCTAATCAACCATTTGTCAAATCTTCAAATCAGGTGTGTGTGTATCTTTTGTTCAGGTGGTGATCGGTGCTGTCGATCACTTTTTTTTTTTCATTTTTAGTTTTTACTTTGTTTTGTGGTCAGTTTTTTTTCCTATAAACAATGCTCAATATATGGTTGTTGCTTTTATTAATAATCGGATCGTCTATAGCTGATCCGATTCCGTTGACATCCGATGTAAAAAATGATTCTGAACGGCCAATCGTTTCGGTTGTTCCATCCGATTCGACACAACAAGCTCCGATTGTTGCTGGTCAACCAGAAAAACAACCACGAACAGCAGCTGCGGCAGCAGCAGCATCGGCCGCTGCATCAGCAGCTTCTATTGTTTCATTGGCCAATATTACATTTAATCCTGGTCCAAATTCATGTCCACCATCACATCTATTTGCACCTTGCGATTGTTTTGTTTATGAAGAACGAGCACGTATTATACGCTGTATGGGCGAATATAATATCGATTTGAATTCAATCTTTCAACGATTATCAATATATTTACCGAAACCAGAAAAACATTTCCATATGCTGTATCTGAATAATACAAACATTTCCTATTTGGGCAATGTACTGCATGATATTACATTCGAATACATTTGTAAGTCGTTTTTCACTTGTTTTATTATCAAAAATGATCTGAATTGATAATTTACATTTATTGTGTTTGAAAAAATAGATTTCGATGGCGCATCAGCATTGGAATTTATTGATCCAAATGCATTCGATATAACAGGACCGTACGTGAAAGAAGTTCGTGCATTCAATACAAAATTGAAACAAAAATCTCTTGAAGATTCATTGATGGGTCTTTCTAGTCTACTACATTTAACCGTATCAAATGTTGGTAAATGTCCACCTGAAGAAGTGACTAGACCTTGTCGTTGTGAATATCGTATGGATAATTGGCAATGGGTACAAGCAAGATTTACAAGATTTGTTTGTGGTGAAGATTCTGAAGAAGATCTTCGTATGCAATATGTTCTTAATGCTAATCGTACACGTGAACAATTTGCCTATTCACAAACACGACGATTACAAATTTATTTTGAACGTTTAAGTGAAAATCTAGCCAAACTTGGTTGGCAAAAACGTTTTGATGAATTTGTCATTCAAAATTCGGCTATATCGGAAATTCCTCGAAATCTTTTTGGTGATATAATTTTCTATGGAGTTAAATTTGATAATTGTCCTGAATTGACGGCCATTCATCCACAAGCATTTCAAATAACTGAGCCATTCATTGAAGAATTGACCATACGTCGTACACGATTAGGAAATGAACGATGGAAATTACGTGATACATTCAACGCCATTACCAGTTTAACTAATCTGCGTGCACTTTATCTTCAAAGTTCCGGACTGAATGTAAGTGATTGATCAATCAACAAAATGAAGGAAAAACTAATTTGCAAAATTTGTATGATTTCATCCATTCAACATTATAGGCAATACCACATCACGCTTTTCGGCCATTGAAAGGACGATTCCAACGAAAATTGGTCAAAATTTCCATCAATTATCCAAATGTTCGTGAAAATTCCATTCGTCAAATTGGAAGCTATGCCTTTTATTATCTATCCAATTTACGATCAATAGATTTGTCCGTAAATTCGATTGAAAAAATATATAAAAATGCTTTTTCATTCCGTTGGGAATCAACTGAAATGTTGACAATAAATTTGGCTGGAAATAATCTTACTGATAATAATATTGAATCTGGTGCATTTGTTGAACTACAACGGCCAGTGAAAGTAATTTTAGGACAAGGTGAATTCGGTAATCCTGGACTTCGACATTTGGAAGAACGTGTATTCCGGCCATTATTAAACGAAAATGAAAAGAATATAATTACATTAAGTTCATCGGAACATCCAACCAATGGTAATCGGCTACAATGTGATTGTCAATCACGATGGATTTTCAATGAAATTGGCAAAGTACGTAATGGTCTTCGTGATATTATGTGTGTAAGTAATGGTAGCTGGGAATGTTTACCACCATGTCTTGTATTTGGCCAAGATCTACTTCATTGTGGTTCGAATCAATATTTCAATATTGAAGATGTATTCTATTCATTAAATCGTAATCTACAGCCGGAAGAAAAACATTTCAAACGATTTATGTTGTCCAATTTACAAATCGAATCGATTCCAAACAAAAGTTTTGGTGATATAACATTCGAAACATTCGAATTAGATGATTGTCCTAATCTTAAATACATCGATGAAAGGGTAAGTTATTTATTGACATTAACATTGATTATAGATGTGATCAATCAATTTTAATCGTTTTGTTTTGTTTTTTTATTAAGGCTTTTGCAATGACAAAACAAAATCTAACCAAAATTGTCATCAAAAATACACCACAATTACCTGAAATGCGTTTCTCATCATTTCAAAATCTAAAAGAATTGGCCATTAGATTTGTTGGCAAATATCGTTTAACAGATGAATCCTTTAAATCAGATCTTCCCACAGAAACATTGCTTCGACTTCGAATCGATGTTGATGGCCTACTACCATCATCCATCGAATCAAATGCATTAAGCTATGCTTATCGTCCGATTAATGTTCTTCTTGAACATCCAGAAAATATTGGTAAACAAGAATGTAAACTATTGACATTGGAAGAGGAAATTTATGCACCATTTTTGGCTGTCAATCCAGAGAACAAAATTCGTATCAATAATTGCCCGATTGTTTGTGATTGTTCCATAAAATGGCTGTTTGATGCACCGAAAGATTGGTGGATGCGTGTCGAAGCTGGTGAACCAAACATAGGTCTACAATGTGATGATTCACGTTCATTGTATTTTTATTCGGATTATGATTTCCGTTCATGTCCAAAAACAAATCTATTGAAATATTTTATTCCGGATTCGGAGAGTAAAACTACAAGTGAAAAATCAACATCGTCTATCATAAGTCCGTCATCATCTTCAACATCGGATTCTGAAGCAATTTCAGCTTCATATGCATCAAGTGATACGATAGCCATTACTGGTGCAACAACCGGTGTAGATAAGGTCAAAATTGACGAACAAATTCCAATTGAACCAAAACAACAGTCAACACAATCTATTGCCGAAGTTAGCGAATCAAAAACATCAGATGTTGACGTCGTCGTACCGGAATCAAAAAATGAGCCGGTAATTACTGATGGTGAAGAACATCCATCAGCAGCCACAAGTGGTGTTGTCATTAAACTTGCAGATGTTTCTGGAGCAAGTGTTCCATCATCACCGGCAATTGCCACAAGCGATCCAATAGCTGCTATTCCATCGGCTGAATCATCATCATCGTCGATCGTCAAAGATGTTTAACCAAAAAAAAAAATAAAAAAAAATCAACAACAGAGATCTCAATATTGAAAAAACCAAATTCCAATCTAACTATCCATTCAGTGCCATCTATCAGTACTGATTTAAAAATTTATTCAAGATTTTTTTTTTTTCAATCCCAGTTTCTTATTTTTTTTGTCTCCTTGATTGATTAATGAATTTTTTTAACTTGTGACACACTACAAGCTACAACAAAATCAATCTACTTATATACACACACACAAATAGAACCTGGCCAAATAATGGGCCAATTTAATGTGAAATGTGCCAAATTTAAGGAATGATAAGCTTATTTAAACAAAAAATTTCAAATTATACCGAAACAAAAAACAACGGCTAACGAGCTTATTATTATATATTGCCTTGATTAATTCGATTTTTCTTTTGATTACATTAAATAAAATTAACGATAATTAATATTCGATTTGATTTTGTTTGTTTGTTAAAATCTGTAAGTTGAGAATAATTTCACTGTTGTTGTTCATTTCATTTTGTATACAATTTTCAATGAATTTTTTACAGATTTTTTACCTGACAATAGCTATGACTGTCGTTGTTGTTGTTGTTGTTGTTGCCATCGATCGTTATGAAGATTATTGGGGTTTATATGTAACTTGTGATGATTATCAATCATTTTTGAATCGTACCATTTCAATGGCTATTATTGATAAAGATTTATGGCTATTCACTACAAATATTCAATTAATAGTATATCCACAAGTTATTGATGATGAATCAATCAGAAATGGCAAACCAATAACATTATTATGGGGATATATTTATTCATTGAATGATACATTTCAACAGATACAATATGAAACAAATCTAACACAAATATTGAATGCATATCAAGGTTCATCAATACGATCGGCAGCTAGTTTTGGTATAAAAAAATATGGCAAGGATCCATATAATCCAAAAGATTATCTTATTCAATTGAAAATTGCAATCGATATGAATTATGCCATAACAAGTGTAATGGATCTATTCACAATAGTCAGTGCTATACCTGGTGCAGTTATATACCAACTTCGTCGATCAATGCCACGTCATATGAATATATTTTCATTCATTGAAAATGATTATGAATATATTAAAGAAATAAATGAAGAAGATTACTTTGAACGAAAATATCGAATTGAATTACGTTTTATTTCAATTGAAAATTTCATTCTTTCATATGTTTATGAATTTTTAAGTAAAGAAAACATATTGTTACGAATTTATGATGAATCACTTAAACATTTAGTCGGACAAATGTGTCATGATCTATCGATTGATCGTATAACGACATCGAATTTTGCCACCGATTGTAATGTCTATCAAACAATACTATATCCACCATTTGATTTTGGTTTTTTTCATGATGGTTTTCTTTATCTAGTGTTTACAGCAAGACCAATGATTATAAAAATTGATAAAACTATAGAAGATTTTGCAAATAAACAACATCGATTTGAAATACTTCAATTAGATCAACTATTCATTTGTCGACCGAAAAATTGAATATTTATAAACAAAAAACACTAAATAAAACACTAAAAAAATACAAATTCGAATCATTGTTTCGAGTTTAATTTTTTTCATCATCAAATTATTATGAATGAATCGGTTGTTCAGGTTATTGGTGGAAAATTTTAAAATTGGTTCAATCATTAGCATTTGAGTCCAAAACAAATGGATATGTTTCCAATGTAAAAGAAATATCTGGATATTGTTTTTTCAATTTTTTCACAATGCTTCTTTGTTTTTTTTCCGACATTGTTGTCGCTTTTTTTGAATTTCGATTAGCCAATTTTGTAAACAATGTATATTGATACATTTTTTCCATTGTAAATTTTAGCATATGATAATTAAACCATTCTTTGAATGTTGTTAACGGATATAGACTGATGTCTAAGCCAAGAAGCGGAGCCACATAATGCATTATTGATGAATAATTGAAAGGAAATACATGACCATAGAATGCTTTGATTATAGCACTACTCATCGGGTATCGTTCAGCACATTTTCGAATTTTTGGTAAACAATCATAATGATAGATTTGTCGACACATCTCCACCACTTCTTCATCACTTCCATTGCAAAGATTGAATTCATCCTCAGTGCCCAGACAATAGCCAATTACACGCCAAAAATGATAAATAGCATGAAAATCTTTTTGAGTAAATTGATGATAACCCAACTAAATGTATTATATGATTATTAATAAAAAAAATAACTTTGATTATATTACATTTGAAACCATACCTGCTTAGGTATGTAAGTTGATATGCCAAAAAATGCACATTGTGTTAGAAACATTTCTCGTTGATTCATCCGTATTTCTATTTGACTATCAGCTGGTTGGTTGTTATTTAATTTATCGGCAACTTTCCTATGCATCGATCGTACCATTTTCAATGACTTAAAGGATTTACTTTCCGTATCAAATGGATCATAACGATACCAATCTTCAACATGTTTTGCAGTGGATAGATAACGTGTGAATAATTTATCAACAGTTTCGGATTTTCCCGTAGATAATAACACACGTAAAATATCATCATCACACATTAGACCAAGTATTAGGCCCATAAAATTTGTGAATACCATTCTATATCATCAAATAATCAATGTATGAATTAATATTTACACAAACATACAAACAAATTAACTTACATTGAATGAAAATTATCAAATAATTCTTGTGCATGTTTAAATGTTTGTGGTTCATACCATTCCGGTGGTACATTACTTGATTCCGATTCCGGTCTAGTACCATTGAATTTACGTCCATTTTCATAAATGTAAAGTCGACGACGACGTACACGTTCATATAGATCATCATCATCCATCATTAAATCAAATCGAAAATGATTTTATTAGTTGATTTTATTTCTAGTTTGACCAATAATCATTTGATTGCCAATTGGGTTGTCAATTTCATTCGAATTAATAGGACCACTGTTTTGTGTGAATTTATTTTATCTAATACAAAAAATAAATAAATTGATGATAACCGATGAGGGAAATCCATCAAATACGACACAAAATGCAGATTTTATCATAAACATTAAAGATTGTAACCATTGCGACGCAAATTTTATTGACATTAATGATGATAATAATTCATAAAGCCAAAAAAATTCTCTGAAAAAATGGATTTCATTGTCATTTTGTCAATTCGGAAGTATTTCCATTTCCATTTATCTCATCATTTTGTGTTTGTTGTTTCATGTAAAAAACAAAACAAAAACACCGTAATTTGAAATTTGATTTTTATTCAATAAAATTGATAAAAAAATATGAAGGAGAAGAAAAAAAAACAACATCATGAGTATATACTACTACTAAATGAGCTTGTAATCATCATCTAAAATTGAATTTTGTTTTTTTTTCTGTGGTGAAAATATCCATCAAATCACCATCTTTGAAAAACAAAATGAAAGAAAAAAAACATCATAAATTAGGCAATATAAAAAAAAAAAAATCGATCATTCATCAATGATGAATGAACAAAAAAAAAATGAAAAGAGGGAGAAAATGGAAATAAAATCCTATTTAGTGCAAAATATGGCCACAAATTTGTTTTTCCTTTGGAAAAAAAGTTTATATATTATTTATGATTATATCGATAAATTCAGCTTGAATTCAATTCTTCGAGTTCATTTCATTTGATCATACATTTCATTTTCTAAATCATCCGCCATTGAAATGGATGTCAGATCAGTGGACTCATTTTCTGTTGTTGGGAAATCTGTATGATAAGATGCAATCATTGAATTAACTGTATTCATTGTTGCCAATGTTTTTGTCGTCGTCGTTGTCGTTTCTGATTGATTATTATCTAGCTGTTCATCGGGTACAATTGTAGCATCATCAAAGTTTAACATTGTTTCATTTATGATATGATCAATATCAATCATTTCCATTGAAAATATTGACGTATTTGTTGCTGTTGATGATGTTATATTTTCAATAAAATGATCAATATTTGATAATAACGTTGGTTGATTATACAAATCATTTGTTGAATTTTTCAATAATAATGATGATGAATTTTCAGTCGAATTTTCATCAATAAATAAATCTATTTCATTTGTAAAATTTAACGAACCAATTGTAGTAGTAGTTGGTATTATAGTTGTTGTAATCATTTCCTTTTCAGTATCATTCGATGATGTTATATTGGTTAGATTCAAATCATCATTATCTATGGTGGTTGTTTCAATTTTTGTAACATTCAATTGATCGGTAGAATTCTGTACTAAATTGGTTGCAGTTATATCGGTTTTAAGAGTCGTATGTTCATCTTCATTAATCGTATTCGTATTGTTGATATTGAAACTTTTTTGTTTTCTTGCATCCTGTTCCAATAACCATTGTTGATCTTCTACACTTCCAGAAACAATGAATACTGCACGTTTTTCTTCATTTGCATTGCTCGGTTGTTCACTAATATTCGGTCTATCATTATTGTTTATTTCGTTCAATTTTGATCGCTTACGACGATATGTTCCACGACCAAGTGTTTGATCAATGAATGAATGCATTGAAAATAGATTCGAGAACAATGTTGGATGTGGTGAATAACCACGAAATATTGGATGACCAGTCAATGGATCACAACCATGTTGATAGGAAGAATAGCCAGCTATATACCAATGTGATTGACTACTTAAACATATTAATGGTAAATATGGCGGTAGACAGATACCAGGTTTTGATTGGATAGCACTATTGCCACTATCTTCAGCTGCACAAACATGACGATTTGTTAATAAACCAGCAAAATGTTCAGTTGTATTACAATAGGATGATTCTAAAACTTTGAATGCTGTATCACTATTTCGATAATTTCCAATAAAACATGTTATTTCTGGATCCAGTTTAGAACTAGGTAAACATATTGATGAATGATTTAATGAATGTTCAGGTATTAATTCACTAGTTTCAATCAATGCCATATCATAATCGGCAAATCGGATTGTACGAAAATTTGAATATTTCGGATGAACACGTACACGTTCGATTGGCATTTCTTTTCCACCAACATTAACAGTGAGATTTTGTTTAGTAAATTCTAAAGTCCTAAAATTTGAATTAAACAAAATCATTAAATGATTCAAGTTACAAAAAGATGACCGAATTACTTACATCAAACATTGCCCACTTGTGAGCAACAATTTCGGTGACAATGTATATGCAAGACATGTTTGAACATGATTGGTGGAATTATGAATAGAAATTGGAGTAGGAATTTCTTCTGGCGTTTCAATGGCTATATTTGTTTTTTTCAATTGTGTACGAGAATCACAATGAAGTTGTTCACATTCAATCATAAGCGCCAGGTTATCGGAACAGCTGGATTCAAATGAAATAATTTTTGAAGACGATGATGATGATGATGATGAATTCGATAGAATAGCCCAAGTTGAATCATTCAAGAGACGACTAATTTTTATGGTTGAAAAATTAACGGCATATGACATTCCCATTTTTGTACATATTTCATCAGCATCATCGTAATCGAATAATGTACTAACACATAATAATGACCAATGATTTTTTGCTCCATTAAATGCATAAACATAATCATCCAAATCGGATTCGACTGTAAAATTGCAAAATAAATTGAAAGAAAAATCTAGAAAAAAGTAGAAAATAAACAATACACTTACAACAACGATCCTCATCGGAATAATCAATACAATCAACATGTCCATCACAACGTTTACTACGATCAATACATTCGGATGAATGTTGGCAAAAAAATTTCGAATCTTCAGCTCGACAGGTTTCCGGTTTTACTGTGATTTAAATTTTTTTATTTTATTTTATTTTAAGTTATTATCAATCTTTAACTATAAACCACTTACGGCAATCTTTTTCATCGTCACCATTAAGACAATCGGCAATACCATCACATACCAATGATTTGCTTATACAAAGTGAACTATCATCACAGTAAAATTTGCCCTTAGATTCACAACTGGATTTAGTGCCTAAATGAATTAATTTAGATTTTGTTCTCACACATATGGATTTCATTTTATCTATAGAGCTATTCTATACTCACCACAACCGGCTTCATCAGAACGATCACGACAATTATATACACCATCACATGCTTGTTTTCCCGTTATACAGGCACTATTATCACGGCATAAAACTTTACCAGTTTCACATTTATCGATATGACAATCGATTTCATCGGAACCATCATGACAATCCCAAATACCATCACAATAATGTGATCGTGGTATACAATAAATGTTTGGTTTAGATTTTACTGAAATTGTATCCATTGCGATTGAATGATTATTCAATGGTAAAGTTTCATTCGAATCTGATTCAGAAATCGGTGGTATCGTTCGACCACAACGGAAATTTTGTCCACAATTTTTTTCCATACAATCTAATTCATCAAAAAGATCCTGTGGACAATCTACAATTCCATCACAGATACGAGATTTATCCAAACATTCCGATGACGTGGTATTTGGACATTGAAATTGTGCATCCAAACACAATGGTGGTTCAAATATTGGTAAATTGGTTACATTATTCATGGCCATTATTTGATTTGATCCATTTGTTACATTGAACATTGTTGTATTATTCTCATTATGAATCATATCATGTTCATCAATAATTTCTCCATCTACATTATCATTATTTTCATTATGACTAAATATACGTCCAGTTCGATTAGTTTCAGGTACTAATGTAGTTGTTATGAATTCATTAGTTGGTTCTACAGTTTCGGTATAATTATCAGGAATATCCGTTTCATTAGTGATTAAATCAAAATTCGATAATTCGGTTGTAAATTCATCATCGTTATCACTGTCGGTATTATTCAATGTTGATGTAGAATTTTCATCATCTATCGTTGTTCTTTTTGTTGTTGTGGTTGAAAAATTTGTTGTTGTCGTCGTCGTCATTGTTGTTGTTTCTGCTGAATCAGTTTGATCGTATGTATCATTTGGTATTAGCCAACTAGGTACGAGATATGAATCCGGATCAATAGAAGAATTATCATTTTGAACATCAACAGAATTTGGTATCAATTCAACTGAAGACGAAGAATTATTATTAGATGTTGTCATCATTATTGTTGATGTTATATTATCATCACTCTCATCATCATCATCATAATTATTATCATCTAAAAATTTTATAGAATATGATTCGTAGATATTGTAATTAGAAATAAAAACATTTCATGTTTCTAAAAAACTATTTATTTAATTTAATAATATATTATGTATCTCTAACAAAGATGACCATTCCGGGAATTGGTAGCAGATTAAAATTAAAATAAAGCTTAGAACAACACACAAATACAAAAAAAAACTAACCTTTTGTTGAATTGAACACCAATTCTGTTGATGTTGGCGGAGCCAATGTTGTCGTTAGAATATTAGAATCATCATCAAAAATGGTTGAATTGAGAATTTGTTCATTGGAAATAATTTCCGTTTTATTTGATTCTAAAAATTCCATTGATGTCATATTGGCGGTAGGTGTGGATGAAAAATTGAATATAGGATAAAAAACATCACCGGCTTCATGGCTAGTCTGTTTTATTGAATCATTCAATACTTGATTATATTCATCGATTAATGTGGATAAAAAATTCGAAGATTCACTGGTAGTTGTAGTCATCTCGGTTGCTGTTGGTGGCGTTGTTGATGGCGATGACGAAGGTGATAAAGTTTTCGATCTGGGTGTTGTATTTTCATCATTGTTTTCAGTCATTTTTTCTTCTTCATTCGATGACGGTGCAGTAGTAAATGGTAAAGGTGTTTCCGAAGTGAATGGTTGACCACTGATTGGATTTTGTTGTTCAAAATTTCGAGTTCGATTTGAATCTTTATCAATATTTGATTCGGTCGTTGTTGTAAAATTTTGATTGATAATTGGCACAATTTTATCGTCATTATAATGTTCTGTAATTGAATCATTTCGATCATCATTGATCGAATCAACACTATAGATGACCATTGCAATGGGTTTTACTGTTGTCGTATTAATATTCAATGTACTATTTTCAATATTACTGCTAACATTATTTTCCGGCGTTTTCGACGTATATGACCATATATGACCAAATCGATTGAAACGTCCAATACGTTGATTTTGGCCATCATTCTCTTGTGATGATGGCTGATTATTTAATGAGATTAAATGATTTTTTTCCGATGAGATTGATGATACATCACAGTGATATTTGTAGATATCTTTTCAGTTTTTTTTTGTGCAGGAATCATCATATGTATTAAGAAAACAAAAATAAAATAAAATTAACATAATCAATAATCAAAATCAATAATAAATTACTTACATTGTGCAGCCAAAAATCCACATACAAATGAGATACCAATAATAATCAATATGGCCAATATTGTCAAGATCCATGAACACAATATCATTTTCCAGGATTTTTTCCTATGACCATTTAATGATAGATTTGATGATAATGTTGTTTCTGTCGTCGTCGTCGTCGTGGTTGGTGTAGATGACGATGATGATGATGAACCAAAAAATTGATGAAATCGATGATTATGATGATGATGATGATGATGATTAGAAAGGGTAGATTTTTGATCACTTTGTTGATTATTATGGCCACCATTATTTATCGATATGGTACATGATGGCACTGTTGTCATATTTGAATCATGTCTATTTAATAATGGTACAATACCAACACCGATACCATTGTCATTTTGTTCAATGGCATTGCCATTATTTTGTATTGAATATTTTTTTTTTCGCTGTGGTCTTTGTTGATCATTTGGATTCATTTTGGCCACATCATTTTTATCACCAGCATTGAAACCAAAAATTAAATCCGATGGCGATGAATTATGACCGGGAATATGTAAATGATAATGATGATTATTATCAATATTTTTATTTGGATTATGTTCAATATTGATATTTTGCGTTAGTTCACCATCGACATCATCATTCTTTTGATTATGATGATGATTAGAATGTAAATTTGTTTCATCATTCATTGGTGGTTTGATTAGAAATTTGGCCGTTGGTCCACCATTACGAGCCAATGATGGAATGGCCACACCATTCATAATCATTGTGGCCATTGATGATGATGAACTAAATGAATCATTTCGTTGTTGTTGTTGTTGTTGATGATTTATATCCAATAATGATGATGTTTTTTGTGGATAAAAAAGATAAAATTTATTAGTTAATTTAGAGAATAAATTAGTTATCATTTTTTTTGAAAAGAAATTCAATTTCGTGTGGAATTCAATTCTTGACATTCGTTGCAATCAGCAATGATGAAGTTTTAAAATAAACTAAAATGATCACTTCACATATACAGAGTGTGTGTACGAGAGTCAATGGACTTGGATGAAACAAATTCCTTGAAACTATATATATATATAAAAAAAATCTTGTTGATGGCATCAACCCTTTCATCAATATCTTTTTCAAACAATTTTTTTCATTTCATTTAACAACAAAATAATCAAGAATGTAAAAGGTTAAATCACTGATTGACCATTGATAACAAGAAACGAAAACGGAATAACAAATCAAAAACAGATCAACATGTTAATCATACAGTGAAGTGAAGGATTTTCAAAAAAAAAAAAAAATAATAATAATAATAATAAAGTGTTCAAACACACAAAATACACACACATATATAAAAATAAAAATGCAAACATATATGGTAAGCATCGATAAACTTTTGCCTTTGTTGGATTTATGGATAAATGACACACACACACACATACACACATAAAGACAAATACCGTGACCGGTATGTATGAAGCCAAAATTGGAATTGGATAGCAAAAACTAAGCTTGTAATAAACATTATTATTATTATTCATAACACCATGATGGAGGTAGGAAAAAAATAAGGATAATGAGAGATTCAAAATAAAAAAGAAAAAATTCAACATATCAACCACTTGTTGTTTTCATCTCTCGCACGCTCTCTCTCTCTCTGTCTCTCTATATGCCGTTATATCTTGTCAGTTTTAGTTTTTTTTTACTCTTTCAATTTTAAATGTTAAGCTCATCATTTTATTATTAAACAACAACAACACCGTAGAATTTAATCATCAAGACTGTTTATTAGTTTAGCTTTAATCAGTGTTTTGTAAGCGAAAGAGAGAGAGAGAGATATTTGTCAAACGGACGTTGACTACTTGGTGACGAATGAAGCAAAAAAAGATGAAAATGAAACAAAAAAAAGGTGACCGAACTTGGCCGTCATGATCAAATGAAATTAAAAGAAACAAAAAAAAAATTCAATTTTTTTTCTCGATAGTCTGAGATTTAAAAATAACTGTTTTTTTTCCACCATCGTTGATAATGACCATTGAATTTGACGCAAAAAAATATTTTTGTTGTTCACCCAAAAATATTTTTGTTTTTTGATGGCCGGTTATCAGATTGAATGATGATTAGATATGGGGGCCAATAAATAGCAAAAAGAAAAAAAATACCTGAAACTAATGATAAATGAAAAATTAAAAATGAAATGAACGTCAATCTTGATAAGGTCAAAAACTTTTTTTTTATTTAGAATGATGATTCAATTTATATAAACATTGGTGTGTGTGTGTGTGAGAAAGTTGAGATATAGCTGTATTTATATTTATTATTTATATTATAAATATAGATTCATAATTAAATTGCCATCAAAATCCATAAATGTAAGAAAAAATGGTCATCCAATTATAATCACCATATATATATTTATATGAAGGTAATGAAAAATGACAAAATTTTTTTCTGCACAATTTCAAATGGAAACGAGTTGATTTAAAAAAAAAAATTCACCAAGGTTCACACCAATCGATAATCAAGTATAATTTCAAACACACAACAACAACAACAGGTTACATAATCAATATGTTTCGAATAGGAAAAATATGAATGATTTCAACTGAATTGAAAAATTGTTGATAATTTTTAAAGATTTTTTTTCTTTTCAAAATTTTCATCCCTTTCAATCTTGTTATGATGATGATGATGATGAGTTGAATGGACAGCGCACATACAGACACACACACACAAAAAGCAAAAAAAAAAAACAATGATTTTCAATTTGATGACAACAAAATTTTCGGCAAAGAAAATGTACAAGTTTGGCAAGTAATCGTCAAAAAAAAAAAAAAAAATTTCGTTGTTCATAATAAACACAATTTGAAAAGTACAGCTTTTTTTCCGCTTTCTCTTTCCATTTGAATTGGCTTTTTTTTCTTTCTTTCTTGTTTTGTTTTGTTTTGTTTTGTTTTGTTTTGTTTGTTGAATGAATCAAAACGAAATATAATTGTTAAAATTAAACATACCGGTGACAATGGTGACATTAATAATTGCATTTTCATTATCATTGTTCATGATATAAATATAAATAAATAAATATATTACATTATCAAAAAAATTGAAATCATACATCATGCAAACATTGACAATTAGATAACTAATTTTGATCCAATTTGTTGGGCAATGAAAATTTGCTATTCCAGGGCCAATATAATTTTTGGCAGGATTTTCATTTTCATTTTCATTTTTTTGCTTCAAATTTATTTTGATATTGAAAATAGAAAATGTAAAGAAAAATCTCTGTACCTTTTTTGTTTTGTTTTGGTAGTTTTTTTACCATATTTTTTTAGTTTTTTCTTTTTTTGTTGTTTTAATTTTTTTGTCGATATAATTGCCGGTTGTGATGACGACATTGGTGATGGTAGTGGCTGTTTTTGATGATGAATACCAATCATACGATTCATTGAAAATAATGATGATGGTGGTAATGTTATATGACTTTTATGACCACCAACAACACCATTACCTATTAAACTATTATAACCAGGTGCAATATGATATTTACCACCAACACCGATACCACCAAAATTATTGAGATAATATTGCCGATAATAATAGGGATAATATGGTTGTGTAAAAAAATAATCCTTTTTATTTGGATTACTATCATGATTATTGTATCGTTGTTGATGGTGATGAGAATTTTGAAAATTTCGATTAAATTGATTAGCAGAAAATTCTACACGTGATCTTGTCCTATTGTTCGGCATTACTGATGTTGATGATGATGATGTTTGTGATTGTGTTTTTGTACGCATCGATAATGGTGGCGGTGATGGTGTTGGCGTGGATAAATGGACAACTAAATTTGATTTTTTAGTTGATAAAAAAGTTGCCGGGGGTGGCGGCGGCGGTGGTGGTGGTGGGGGTATTGGTATTGAAGTAAAAGGTTGCTTTTGACGAATTGGATTCATAATGACCGGTTATCAAATGTCTAAGAGGAAATTTATGTTGGCATTTTTGTTGATGAGGTAATTTCTGTTGCAAACATTTTCAATATCATTTATCTGAAAATTAATTTCATGAGAAAGTATGGAAGGTGGGTGATCGGTACAAATCAATCATTGATTGATTGTATCAATCAATCAAATATATTATCATTGATAACGAACAAAAAATGGGAAAAAAATCAATTTCCATCAATTATTGAATAATGAATAATGAATGAACATTGTAACGTTGAATTGATTGATCATAATGAAGGACAAATCGTTTAGAGATGATGAGAATTGGTGAAAACCCAAACAATTGTCATGAATTCTTTGATGACGATGATGATGATGATGAAAGCACAAGAAACAAATCCACGAATACAATGGATTATCCCCAGACACACACACACACACACACACAAAACAGAGGAAAAATCCTTTGTATACAACAATCTATTCATTCCATAATTATAATGTCTATTATTTATCATTTACCATGTATGTATCAAAAGTCAAAGTTTCTTGGGCAAAGAAAAAAAAACGTTTTGTTACATTCACCTGAAAAAAAACTGTCCACAATGTACGAAAAAAAACAACATTACAATGGATAATAAACAGACGCATACACATAGACACACACAATGGAATCGCATATGGAAGACAAACACATATATTGGACAAAAAAGAAAAATCTAGATGAAATGCAAAAAAGATTTTGATCAACGTTGTTGATTTACAAGATGACTGAATATTATGATGATGATGATCACTACATCAACGAAATAATTATAACCATGACCATATAAACAATGAATGATAATGATAAGTATTAATAGAATGAGCTGACTAGAAATCAAACAAGTGGATATGATATTTGAATCGGAAAAAAATGAAATGAAAATTCAGGAATCAAATTCAATTTGAAAATAATGTGATTTTGTAAAAAAAAATTTCAAATCCAGAAACACACACACACACACGTATGGTATGTGATGAATGAATTTCAAATAAAAAAAATTTTTTGTTTTCATTCTATCATCATCAAATGCAAAACAAAACATGTCTTGATTTTTTTTCATTTTTGAACCAATGGAGATTAAAAGCGACTGCACGTACCATTTGTACGTAGTACGCATTTGATTGTCAATATATAGGAAAAGAGAAAGGATGAAAAAAAATATATATGAAAAGAGAAATACGCGCCAATTGTTGAAACAAAATTCCAATTGAACCATTATTTGGATGAAAAAAAGAGAAAAAAAAAACATACAGAGGGAAATCCGTTGTTACATTAGGCAATATTTTTCAACAAAGTTGAAAAAATTTTAATTTATCACTAATCAACAACGATAAGACATGTTCCATGATGAAATGATGACATAATCAAAAGTGAATGAAATGAATGAAAATAGAAATCAGAACAAAGAATTGAAAAACAAAATAAACGAAATTGAATGAACAAAAGAACAAAAGTCTAAAAATTGAACAAATCAAACAAATGAATTCAAATCAGTACCGACAATGTAATATTACCGTTGTTATTGGTCCAATGATTGGAAAATGTTTCAAATATCTTCATCATCAACTATGTACAATTTGATCAAAAAAACAAAACAAAAAAAACCACATGTGGTTATTGAAAAACAGAAAAATGCCGGAAAATCATAAATCACATGATATATAAAAAAAAAAACAATGAACAGCAGCAGATTTAGCAAGTGGTTGCGATCAGTTTGGTACAAAAGATCAGTGATTTTTTTTGTCATAATCATATATGAAGTGGTTAAAAAAATGGATTGTAAAATTTGGTATTTTGTCCAAAATTTGGTCAATTTGGTCATCATCATCATCATCATCATCATCCACAACAACAACAACACCAGGTAGTATAGATTAAATGTTGGACAGACATTTTTTTTAAATTTCCAACTAATTGAATGGATAAAACGAAGAAAAAAAACAACTTGAAGATTGATTGAGATTAGAATTAATTGATTGAATCAATAACGGAACACCTGAGGTCTTATGAATTGCAAATTTATTCATTTTTGTTTTGTACATACATATTTCTATCTGTTTTCTTGGATAGAATGATTGTTTTTTTTGTTGTTGCTGTATCGATCATGTTCGATAATGACTGGAAACATATCCACATAGTTAATCGAGATATCATTGTACTATAGACATATGTTTTCATTTCCACTTCCTGTCTATTGAGAGGATTTTTTTTTCTTTGGATTTTTTTCTGAACACTGATTGATTGTGGCCATATGGCTAATAGTTACGATGAATATTTTCAATTTTTTGATCAAATCTTGGATGAAAAAAAGATTGATAAAACGAAACGAATCGTTTTTCGATTTTTGAATTAAATAATAATAATGATTTATAATTATCGATAATTGATCATATTTGGCCATATACAAACAAATTAACATTCAAGATAAATGGCAGGGCATGACCTCTTGTTGATGGATTTTTACATTTCTGTTTTTTTTTCGCAGGGAATTTTTCTCCCATTTGAAACTCAAAAGTTTTTTATGTTAAAAATAATTTTTTTTTTCTTTGTATATCATCACAACACATATATTCATCTTAAATTAAAGTGATGATGATGATGATGATGATGATTTCAAATCATCAAACTCATTTAATCCAAAGGATTAAGGATCAATGTGAATATGAATAAAGTAAAAGAAAAAAAAATCAGGCCATAGATGTTCAAATCCGATACGGAAATCTATCATTTTCAGTCAATCAATTTGATCAACCAAATCAGTGAGTGAATTGAATTTGTGTGATAAAAAAAATCTAAATTAAATTTTACTGAACTGAAAAAAAACCAGTGAACAAAAATAAAACACACACACACACATTAGATCACAAAAAAAACGTGCAAGGTCAAATTGAACAAAACATTTTATCAAGCAGAAATCATTGTTATCAGAAATCATTTTTTTTATGGGAGAAAAAAAATGTATTCATTATATGCAAATTAAAAATTCACTTGAACTGATTTTAATTATTATTATCCACTTCATAATGATCATGATGATGATGATGATGGATAAAAATGGACTTCAGGCCATAAATGATGATAATGATAATGATGTTGATGATGACGAAAAAAAAACGGTAGCAAAATGAAATTTTTTTTTGTTATCATCTATTTTAATGGGACATTTGTTATTGTATCGAAAATGAATCTAATGATATTGTTTGAATTCATTATGGATTCACACAGACAAACAAACACACACACTGAAAAAAACAGTGTAACAAAGAAATGAGATAAAAAGTGTTTGAATGGTGGGCGAATGAATGAATTACGGGCTCCTTGAGATTGTTTTCATTTTCCATCATTATGTGGTGGACGTGTAAAAACATTCAGAAACAAACAAAACAAAAAAATAACAGATTTAATGAACGGAAATTTTTTTTTTTTTATAAAATGATAATATTTGCCAATTTGGAATTCAAATTCATATATGTACAAAACAAGTAAATGCAATAAAGAAAAAATGGAAAATATACTTCATATACTTACTTTGTTAGTTGCTTGAATCTTTGATCTTGATCTCGATTATAATGATGATGATGATGATGATGATGATGATGATAATTAATGATGAAAAAAAAATCTCAAATCTTGACAAGATTAAAAGAGTTTTGAATAATAAAACGAAAAAATAAAAAAAACCAAAGACAAACATGAAATTGAATGAGCCAGTTTTGAAAAAGATAAAATGTTTAATTCAATAGCAAACAAAAAAAAAATTTTAAACTTTAATGTCTGATGCTAAAAAATATTAATTGGTCAAGAAACAAAAATCACATTAAAATTCAATGTTTTTTTTCAGTGATGATTTTTATCACCAAATCAGCAATATGACGATTACTCGATAATGAAAGTTTTTTTTGTCCATAGCAGCAATCGACGATCATTCACACAATCAAAGAATCGTTTGAATTTTCATGCACCAAGGATATGATGATGCTAATAACACAACATCAAACAGGAAAAAAAATCACCAACAACAAAATTGCCGGTTTTTTTATGATTGGTATGGGTAAAATTTGTTGAAAAATAAAACACATAGAAACAAAAAAAATGAAAATTTTTTGATTTTAGGTGAAAAATTTTTTTAAAATCACGTTCATGTACAATGTGATTAACATACAAAAATAAAATAAAATGAAAAAACGAATGAATATGAAATCAAATGAAACTTTCAACATTGACAACAATTAATATATAATATATCCACAGCAATTATTATGGATTGATTGATTGATTGATTGAATGGCATCGATGAAAATGGAAAAAACACAATTGGTCGTTCGTTCGTTCGTTTGTTTTTTTTTTCGCTTTCGATTTTTTCTCAAACATTACATTCATTGGCAATGTATATTCAAATTCAAATTAATTTTAATTTTTGTTCATGATCAACAGGTTTTTCACACACGTACTATATGGACGGACAAACATATCCGTCATTGAATTGTAAATATCTATCTATCTCTATATCTATGATTTCAATGTAATGAAAAATTCAACAAAAAAAAAAAAAAATTAAATTCGGAAAAACTGATTAAAATTCAGATTACATTCATTCATCATTTTGGAAACATTGATGATAATGTAAGTGTTCCAAAATGTTTCAATTTTTTTTCTGTCTGTTTCATGGAAGTTGTTTTGAAATTGTTTGAATTTTAAAATTGAAATTTTTGTGAACATGAAACGAACAAAAAAAATTAATTCTCGTTAAAACACGATTCAATCGATTTTTTTTCTCTCTCTCTCTCTCTTTTACTCTCTTGATTTGTGGTGGTTACAACAGCTAATTATAGCCACCGTCACCACCACCACCACCACCACCGCAATCAATAGCAACAACAATCACGACAAACTAACGAATCGTAACGAATTACGTACAAAACGGGCACCAATAATCAATGTGAAAAAAAATAAAAAAAAAATATCGAGAAAAAAAACCATTGGCAACAAGAAACCAGAACCAGAAACCTGAATTTCTATAGAAAACAAAATGAAATGAAAAAAATCAATTGGAAAACACAACAGATGCCTGGATACAAAATAAAAGGTAATGTTTTCATTTAATACAATAGGATCGAGGAAGATTATATGATCCTGTCAAATTATTTCTATGGATTGAAAGGCGAGAAATGGCATTTTTTTCTGTAGAAAAAAAAATTCAAAAAAACGAAATGAAATTCATATTGTGAAACACATCCTATAATCAACAACAATAATAGGTATGAGTTTTTTTTTCTGTTTTCCAAAATAAAAAAAAAATTGTCAATCAAAAACCTTCAAAAAAAACCTTAACACACACGCACAGAAAATTTGATGATGATAATTTGATAATTATAGAATCGTTGATAAGAGAAAAATGACAAAAGAAATTTCAATATTTGACAATGATGACAGTCAAATTAAGCGGCAATCAAACAAAACAAACAAAACGAATAAAAAAGGAAAAAATTTTCCACATTTTACTCGATTCATAAATATAATCAAATTGAACGGAAATTGAATCAAATTTGATTTGGTCATTGTTGGATGACAAAGACAATGGATAATGATGATTATTATTTAAATGTACTGAACATTTAAATATCGATGACTAATAGATAATTTTTGTTTTTCTCATGCAAAAAAAAGATGATTAAATATTGAATATTTTATCTGATGGAAATATTTATATTTTTTATCTTTCACTCTTTTATTCGAATGTCCAATGTCGTTTATTTGTCCATCAACAAAATAATCATGGACGTCATTTCAAATGATGTACATACATTCATTAATGAATCGGGTTTTTTTTTCTCGTCCAATATAACTATTTTAAATGCAGAAAATTTTTTTTTGATTCAGATTATTATTGGCCGGCACACATATTACACACACACACACACACACAAACACAAATATTTATCGGTGTGCAAAACATTGACCGATAAATATATTGAATATTTATCATTAATAAACATGAATATATATCGTCATCAGGTAAAAATCATCATGGCAAACGTGATGCGTATACATTGACAAACACACACATACACACACACACAATTTATACCTGTGATGAGATTTTTTTTCGTTTATCCAAATGTTCGGTTGTTGTTGTTGATGATGACCGAATCAAGTTCTTCTTCGAACCAGTTTTTTTTCATTTCTAAATTTTGTCGTTTATTATGATTAGTTTTTTTTCATTCATTCATTCGTTAGGTCAATGTGCAAGGTGATTTAGAATTTGGATTTTAGAAATGGAGATGGATAATGTACAAATATAGGTGTATAGTTGAAATGTTTGGTTGAAATACTGGATTTTTTTATGGTTTATTTTAACTGTTTTTTTTAATCTAAAAATTTAACCGAGTATCGTTATATTTGGTGTTTTGGACAAAAAAGTCTGATGATGATGATGATGCAGAGACATTTTCGGCGATGTATACCGTTTCTCTTTCATTTATTTATCATTTTTTTCAAATCATAAAATTTTCATTCAACGACCTCACCCAAACAGTAAAACCAAAGAAAAAGAGAGAGAGAAGAGAGAGAGAAATCTTCTCCAACAACAGTAACAACGACAACATCTGAATCACAACTATTAATTTTTGGAATAACAAAAAAAAACAACAACAAAGATGATTATTGGTAAATCCTGTGTGTATATATTATCATTATGAAATGAAATGTACCGTTCGATTGTTGGCATTAAACATTCACTGTGGATGGAAATAAAATAAAATAAATATAATCGTCATAGGTTAGAAATAAAATTTTTACAATCCTTTTCCAAATTCACTAGTTTCACATATAAATAGATGTCATCAGATTAAACAATGCAAACATTTTAATAACACAGACACACACACCTATGTATCTGAAATATCAAACTAGAAAAAAAACTTTTGATTTTCTTTTGTTGTACAAAGAAAAAAATGAAAATGAAAATTTTCTACTTACATTGAGAATGGGGAAAAATGATCCAGATCAAAAATGATGATGATGATGATGATGGAAAATTTGTCTTAAAATATACAGATCTCATTGTGTGGATCGATAGAAAAAGAACAATTTTTTTTTCTACAATGAATATTCAGTAAATGTTGAAAAAGGAAAGTTTCCAACATAATTTGTGCCATTAAAGGGAGATATAAACTGAAATCAAAACTTGAACTGATGATTGAACACAGCTTGATTGATTGATTTGAAACAAACAATCAATCAATCCGCCACACACACACACACTCATCACAATTACACCTTAATTGATTGAAATGATGATGTAAAACGGATTTGATTACAATTGAATTTGATTTTTGAATGTCAATACTACTAAAGCCACACACACCCACACCCACCTGTTTATAATAATTTTGTTCACTTGATTAATCACAATGGATAAGTTTTGGCCATTCATCGATTATTAGCATTTTGAATACAACTTTTTTTGATTGCTACTGTGATGGTGATTATTTATTATCAAAATTTTTCTTTTCTTTCAATTTTTTCTTTGAATAGATGAGAATTTTCAAAAAAAAAAAATTACGTGACATTTATATCTCTTGATGGGGAAAATTGTTTTGAAAATTTGACGCAGGTTTTTTTTTCTTCCCATTACTGGGTAATAATTAATCGAAAAGTAATTTTTAGTGGAAAAAAATAGTTGACCAAAAAGAAAAAATAATGAAATTATCACAATTATCGACACACAGACACACACACACACACACATCAACAAACATCTTGCGTAATTATTTGACAAGAGAAAAAAAAATCACTCGAATTTCGAACCATAATGGAATTGGTGACAAAGTTCAAATTATTAGATTAGTTTCGCTTCGCCGGTTGTAAACTTTTGTTGTTGTTGTTGTTGTTGTTGTTGTTTATAATTTGACAAAAATGTTATTTTCATTCGATCGATAACTTGTCCAATGAGAAACGTTTTTGGACAATTTTGTTTTTCATCACCCCCAAAAAACATGACAATTTTTTCTTTTTCGACAATAATCAATCACAATCAACCGGCTCAAATTCAATTAATTTCATTGGATGAAATTGAAAATTGATTAATTTGAAACGAAATTTTTCGACGGAAATATCTGGCCGATAAATAAAATTTTGTTTGACGAAAAACAACGTGAAAATTGTCGAAGACAATCATTTGGAAGGCTTCCTTGTTTTATTTCGTTCTCAATATTTATGGCCCAATTTTTTTTCGCAAAAATATCATTAGTAACCAAACAAACTGATCTGTTTTTCAAGATGAATTTTGTTTGAACTTTTTTTTCATCCATTCTTCAAATTCGATTGATGACTATGGTACAATACCGTTGTTACAGATGATGATGATGATGATGATGACCATTGCCATCATTATCCAAATACAATGTTTGTCCTTCATTCAAATCACACAATGATCTTAATATTGGTCAAATCTTTTTGTTTGAGAATACGCAAAAAAAATATTCACGAAATTCATTTGAGAAAAAATGAAAATATTATAACAGCATTAATTCGAATTGTTAAAATGGCATTTCGACTATATCTACACATTGGATGCAATAGATCTGTTTTTTTTCAAATTCAATCTCTCTTGATTACCTTCAAAGATAATTTTTTTTTCTTTTGATTTTAATCATTTCATTTGGATTTTGTGTTTTTTTTTCATCCTTTTGTCAATGTAAGTGAATAAACAAAAGAAGTGGGAAAATACAACAAAAAAAAATAGTAATAAATTAAGATGAAAAGAAAAAAATATGACATGATACGTGATTTATTCGAAATGAAATTTTTTTAGCGGAAATCACGATTTTCGTTTCGATAAATATTGATTCAATAAAAGTTGTGTCTTAATTAATAACGTTGATTATATTGATGTCCACCACCTTTACCGCTTTGGCTATTTGTTCCATTATTACCGAACAATGATGTATTCGGAGGTGGTCCTTGTCCCATTCCACCAGGCCCCAAACGTACACGTTTAGCTGATGGTAAACTATGATGAGGATCATGTCCTCCTCCACCACCATGCATCATACTACTAGATTGTCCATGATGTTGTTGACTTTGATGATGACTCATAGACATTTTATTTGTTGGATGATTAGATGAATGATGATGATGTCCCATTGGTCCATGGCCATGTCCTCCCCCACCATGATTACCATGTTGATTTTGTTGCTGTGATTGTCCTGATTGTTGCCCACTTTTCGATACCATATCTGATGATGATTGACCATGATGCCCTGATTGACCAGGCGGTCCTTGTTTCTGCCCGACACCTTGATTCTGTTGATTATTATTAGCAGCTGCAGCTACAACAGCAGCGGCTGCCGCAACTGCAGCAGGATTCTGTTGATTAGCTTGACCATGATTGGCTTGATTATTATGATTATCTTCATTTCCTTCATCGGTAAGAAATTCACGTTTAGGATATGGTATAGGCATTGCATTGAATACACTGTAAAATCAAAATCAAATAAAAGTGAATCAAACGAAAATAATAAAAAAAATACACACGACTTACTCTTGAGTTGGTTCAGGATCTTCACTAAAATATGGATCTTGCATCGCCTGTTCCGATGTAATTCTTTTGGTGGGATCCATCGACAATAAACGTGACAAGAGCACAAAGGCTCGTGTATCGGATTTTATTTTGTGTTTATCCATATATTTCACTAGTGAACAATTGGTATAACTATTTTTCAAAAAAAAGAGAAAATAATTTTCATTTCATCAGAATCGATTTATACTAACGGTTGTTTTTTGAAATCTTTTTGTAATTGATTATATTCGGGCATCTTTTTAATATCTTCCCAGTCTTTATCCATAGGGAAACCCATCACATTGAATATCCGATCTAATTGATCCTGATGATATGGATTATTCGTTTTAATATCTTCTTGACGACAATGAAATATTGGCTCTGAAGTTAATAATTCGGCAAATATACAACCGATTGCCCATATATCAATGGCTTTCGTATAATGTCGTGCACCTAATAATAATTCAGGTGCACGATACCAAAATGTTACAACCACTGGATCAAGATCTGCTAATGGTTTCAATGGATTATTGAATAATCGAGCAAAACCCATATCAGCTATTTTTACACGGCCCCGTTCACGTCCTTCACCCATGACCAAAATATTGGCTGGTTTCTTTTTAAATTGAATAGAAAAAAATAATATTGGAGCTAATTTCAGAATTATTTCCAACATACCAAATCACGATGAAGTATCCAATTGGAATGTAGATAATGAATACCGGCTAAAATCTGATAGATTAATGATTTAACCATTCCTTTTGGTACGTGTACGGTTTTTTTATTTGCTTTAGCGCTACGATGAAATTTAATTATATGCCATAGATCGTGTTCAGCATAATCGAATAATAACCATACTCTTCGATCAGCATGTGATAGGAAAACACGTTGTAAATTTATCACATTTACATGTTTCAATTCTCGAAGTAGCTATTTAATTTCAATATAAATAAATGAATGAAAATATTTGAAGATATTTGAAATCATTTTCAAACTTACGGCAATTTCACGACAAGCTGACATGGATATGCCACTACCTTCAATCTGTTTTAACGCATATACCCGATCATCGTTACTGTGAATGAAATCAACGATAAGAATGAAAGAAATGTGAAGATAAAAAAATAAAATCATCAATTACCTTTCTTTTGGTCGAGCTTTATATACATGACCATAGGTACCACGACCAACTTTACAGCCTTCATATTCGAATAAATCTTCCACTTTGGCTCGTTCTTGAGCCAATTTTTCTTTAAATTCATAATCCATCGTTATACATGATGATTGATTTTTTACAAATTTAACAAAGTTAAAAGAATTTATTTATTTATTATTATTTAAATTCCTGCATTCAAACACGGGCCAACATAAAATTCGGCTCGAAAAAAAAAAAAATAAAAAAATAAATCCAGAATACATTCATAAATGTCGTACAATAAAATTTAAATTTTCACTCAATAGCTGGCGCCAAATTGCCAAATCGTTACACAACATTTTCCAAAATAATTCAGCCAAATTTTTTTTTTCTGCTGATCATGATGAAATTTTTTTTTCCACCAAAACCGGACACAGATATTGTTCCACACGAATATTGTTTCTGTTCAATCAAAAATCTTCAAAACAAGATGTTTCAAGTTGTCAAATATCATGTAAATGGAGTTTGTCATTCTTTTTTCACCATTCGGTTTTCAATAAACAATGTCGGCAGCATGTCTTAATTGAACAACATTCACATATTAGTAGAATCGGAATTTTCCAATTTTTCTGAATTCAACAAAAAAAAAAAAAAGAATCAATGTATCATTTTCATCATAAATTACAATTTGAAAGGTATGTCTCGTTTGAATTATTAGATTATAATTTTTTTTTTGTTCACAATCATCAGAATATATATGAAATCAGAAATGAGAATGTTCAGCCTCAAAGAATTAGAATAGAATCAGCATAAATCAAGTTATGATGATGATGATGATGATGAATCACACTGTAATCAGAAAGTGAAGAAATTTTTTTCCTTCACCATGATGATGATTATTGTATGGAATTAAATTTTCATTTGATGCATAATTCAATTTAGTTTTGAATTTTTTGAATTTCTTTTTTGTTCCATTTGATTCTTTTCTCCACATTTGCATGGAAATTTTAATAATTTTCATTAAATTTAAATTTTTCTTTTTCTTTTTTTTCCTGTTGTTGAAATTTTTACATTCCATGAAGATGATTTTGGAGGTTTTTCTTTTGAGAATTCACTTGTTTCATCAACATCAAATCTGATTAAAATCAATTTGATGAGAAAATTTTCTGGAAAAAAAAATTTTTTTCCAAATCTCTTTGGAGTGACGATGGAATTTTTAAATTCCAAAATCCTTGTGAAGAGAAATGTCATCATTTACCGAGATATACTATACTGTAATCCATATATGGTTGTGGTGTTGTTGTTGTTGTTGTTGTTGTTGTTGTTGTCACTACTTTTCAATGACATATGGCTGTAATAATGTGTTGTAATATTCTTGTTCATAATAATGATAATGCTATGGCTTGATAAATCTGATATGATGTGACCAGTGTTTCTTATATAACAACAACAACAACAACAACAACAAAATTTGTATTTATATGTATTTCATGACTTATGGGGCAATCTATTGCTTTGATTTTGCAAAATTTTTTTCCTATTCTTGTTCCATTACTACTACTATGCTGTTTTTTTTTTTGTTTTGTTTTGTTTTTGTGTCTGATGTGTTTTTTCCCTTGACGATCATCACCATTTCATAATCATGGTCGTTAAGATAATATTCTTGTTGTTGTTCATCTAAAGCCAATATTCTAAGTGATTTTTATTTCCATTTTCATTTCATTTTTTTTTTTGCTGATCTTTGCTTTGAAAAAACAACTGAAATATGAATTTCGAATTTTATATGGAATATGAGATGATGAAAAACATGAACAACAACAAAATCATATTTATATAAGAATGGCTGGAATTGCAATTTTTTTTCCATTCTTAAAACAAGAATTCTACGTGATCAGTAATGTGAATAATCACGACTAAATTATAGTGTGCATGTGGACAACAGAAAAAAAAATTTGCAACTTTAGCCAAAAAAAAAACGTTTTAATCGTTTGATACTTGAAAATGCCATTGCCATTGATTTTCATTTACCTTATTATCATTGTCATACGATCAATTGATCATTGTAGATCAATAGAATGTTGATGCTCATTTTTTTTTCATTATACGAAAAAAAAACGTTAGTCATTATCATGATGATCATCATTCATAATTCATTTTTTTTTCTTTGCGGAAAACTTTTTCCTAAAATGCTGAATCTTTATCTAAGACCGTTGATGCTTTTTTTTTTCATACGAAAAAAACGTTAGTCATTATCATGATGATCATCATTCATAATTCATTTTTTTTTCTTTGCGGAAAACTTTTTCCTAAAATGCTGAATCTTTATCTTTATCTTTATCGTTTTTTTTTTTGGATTTAGATTTAATTTATAACGGATATATATATGTTGATAATTTCCCTCATTGAATAATATTACAATCAATCAAATAATGGACCATTATTATGATAAGATTTGCCTGTTTTTTTTTTTTTTTTTTTTTTTTACAAATAGAATCTGGCCATTATTTAGCAGAAATGAGAGAAAAAATACCGGAAACGGAACATTTTCATATAAACAGTGGTGGGAGAGAGTGAGAGAGAGAAAGATGAATGAAATAAATCCGGAAATGGTGAATTGTAGTTTTTTTATTTTTTGTTCTCCTTATTCCGATTTTTTCATGATGTTTCTTGTAAATTGAATGAATGAATGAATATCAAATTTATCGCCACATAAAACATTGATGATGATCATGATCATCATTGATGAACAATTGTTACATATCATTTGTTCCATCATCATCATCATCATCATCATTAATATGTTTCCGAAATGTTTTCATTAGTTATGTACCCAAAAAACCGAAAGAAAGAAAGAAAGAATTGTCACATTCATTCATTCATTCATTTAATTAATCGTTTCATTAATAAATGACAATTTCAGTTTTCTATGGAGAACAAAATTTTGTTCATTTCAAAACATCAATAACGGATTTCAAAGATCATAGATCATTTAAATGTCTGTGAATGTGTGTGTGTGTGTGTGTGTGTGTGGGTTCTATTCAATTTTTCCTTTTTTTTAACAGACAAGAAAAAAAGAACTGTAATTGACAAAAAAAATTGACTGAACAAAAAAAAATGAAAAACCATGATACCCAAACACAGGATTTCCTTCTCGTAGCCGTAAAAAAATGATGGAAAAATTAAATTTTTTAAGACAAAAAAAAAATTTTTTTTTAATTCTGCTTCATCATGCCAAGGAATCGGTAAAAAAAATCGCCCTTTGTGTGGCGGCCATAATGATGATGATGATGATGATCAATCAGTGGAATTAATCGTCATTTAATAAAACTAATTGTCATTTTTTTTCACAAAAATTTTCATCACGTTGATCGTTTCATTCGGACCTGATCATACACACACACACACACACACACACACACATGGACTGAATATGAAGAAGAAAATAACCGATTTTGTTGATGTAAAATGACGATGATGATGGTGATGGTGGTGATACTTGCAACAACAACAATCATAATAATGAAATGAAATGAAATCAATGGCAGAAAAAAAATAGCTGACAAAATATATATCATACGGTAATTATTCTAATGATAATGATGATGGAACTAGGGAAAACAATCCATTTATCTGGTACTGATGATGGCGATGATGATGATAATGCTAATGCTAACACAGAACATGTTATTCATTCTGGCATCGAAAACAAAACTGAGAAAAGAAAAACTTTCAACCATTTTAGGCCATATTATTTGTTATGATTCGGATATGATGATGATGGGCAATTATGTAAATTAATTTTTTCTGTTTTTTTCATGTATGATTTTGACATGATTTTATGGGATTTTTTCTCTTGAAATGATGGAATTGTTTTTATTTTTAGAAGAAGGAGAATGAGAATGTCTTATTTGTGGATTTTCTCGATCCAAATACAATGTTTTGATGAATGAATTCTGCTTTTACTGGGTGATCTTTTGGACCACCACCACCCCAGTTTCGTTGATGATGAATGAATTTTTAATTTACATAAATCTAACTGTGTGAACATTAAATTTTTGTTCTGGATTTCGACCACAAACTAATCATGATAATTGAAATTTTAGTTTTGAATTTGTCATTTTTTTTTAAATTCGTAATAATTACTTTTTCATTGATTTTTTTTGGTGCACATTTGTGCACCTTCAGGCAATATCACATGTTCACATGCCGAATGTCGAATGAGAATTTCAACGGCTGCAGCCTACGGCTTGCTGGCTAATGAATTTGTTTCCACCATGAATTTTAAGGTCCAGAATTATGATTTTATTACAAAGTTTTAATTTTTTTTTCTTTCCCAAATCGATCGGACAAAACTTTTTCTATTCGATCATACACAGTGTGTGTGTGTGTGTGTGTTTCGGTAAATTAATTACATAAATCTTTTTTTTGGAAAGAAAAAAAAAAAATCGATTTTCCATTTTCTATGCCGACTGATGAAAAAAAATATGATCGTTTTCGATACATAACTGTAACTTTTATTTTTCTTTCATCATAAGACGCAAAAAAAATGAATATGTGTAACTACAAGCGGTCTTTACAACATTATATAAATGTGTGTTTCTCTTATTCTTATCAATTCTTGTTTCACATTTTTTATTCCTTAATTTTATTAAAAGCATTTTGATCTTTTGTACATTCACATACAAACGCAAACACACACACACACACACACGATACCGACGTTGAATAGCCAAATTTCATTCAATTAGAATGTGGCGAAGAAGAAGAATAAAATTTAAATTGAATTAGCTTCTTCTTCTTTTGGTTATTATTAAATTTCTTGGACTACAATTTGTTGGTGGTGGTGGTGGTGGTGGTTAACAACAATGACACACAAAAACAACATTTGGAAATGATTTTTAATTATAACCATCATTTGGTAGTAGTAATGAATGATTTCAAGCTAATTGAAATCTGTTTTTTTTTTTTGCAAAATATTTTATTACATGAAACAAAAAAAAACCGGTATGTTATGTGTCAATTTAAATAAATCAAAATGACCACAATGAATACAATGATGATGATGATAATTGAATTGGACAATTTGAATTTCGGTTTTTTTCTTCGTTTGTTTGTTTGTTTCTAACCAGATGAAAAAAAAGATGAAATTTTCATTAATTCTCAGTCACATTTTACTAATTGATTTATCACTATATAAATGATGCAAATGTGAAATTTGCCC